ACGGGGAGCAGGAGGAGGGAGAGCACGAGGACGGGGAGCAGGAGGACAGGAGCAGGAGGAGGGAGAGCAGGAGGAGGGAGAGCAGGAGGACGGGAGCAGGAGGATGGGGAGCAGGAGGACGGGGAGCAGGAGGACGGAGGCAGGAGGACGGGAGCAGGAGGACAGAGAGCAGGAGGATGGGGAGCAGCAGGAGGATGGGGAGCAGCAGGAGGATGGGGAGCAGGAGGACGGGAGCAGGAGGATGGGGAGCAGGAGGACGGGGAGCAGGAGGATGGAAGCAGGATGACGGGAGCAGGAGGACGGGGAGCAGGAGGACGGAGAGCAGGAGGACGGGAGCAGGGGGTCGGGAGCAGGATGACGGGAGCAGGAGGACGGGGAGATGGAGGACGGAGAGCAGGAGGACGGGAGCAGGGGGATGGGAGCAGGAGGACGGGGAGCAGCAGGAGGACGGGGAGATGGAGGGCGGGGAGCAGGAGCAGGGAGAGCAGGTGGACAAGAGCAGGATGGGAGCAGGAGGGCAGGGAGCATCCCTCTTCCCCTACCAGGGCTGGTCAGAAGACTGGGCTTTTCTAGAAGGAACTTCTGTGCTGGGAAGAAGGCCTCCTTTGCTATGAGTAGTGAGTCATCAGGTTTGGCCAGGCCCTGAGGAGACAGGAAGCAGGCCTGAGAAGGCACGCTGGCTGGAGGCCCCACAGGCAGCCTCCTTTGAAGATGAGAACCTGGCAGGGACATTTACCTGGGGGAGGCTGCAGGTGCTGGAGGCCAGCTTCATGGCTTTCAGGATGCTGCAGGAGAAAGTGCAGAGGCCTGAGGTCAGCCAGGCCCCCGGGCCGCAGGCAAGGTCTTGTAAGGGGCATCAGCCCACTCATCATCTCTGATGGAGAGCCACTCCCATCCCCCTCTCCCACCCGCAGGGCCCTCTGTGTCTGGGGGCTCTGCACTGTGGCTCCAATCAACCAGGGACAGAAAATATTTGAGCTGGCAAAACCGCTCTGTGGTAGAATGCTTGCCTAGCATGTGCAAGGCCTGGGCTCAATCCCCAGCACTGCTTAAAAAAAAGAAAAGAAAGAAATTATTTGAAATAAAATTCCAGAAAGTTCTAAAAACCAAAACTTAAAATTCGCACTGAATCCACTCCAGAGCAGTGATGAATCAGCAGTGCATTAGGTATCACGGGAAACCTGGAGGTGATCTGAAGTTCACACGAGGATGTGTGCTGGTTCTAGCGAACACCATGCCATTTCATATGGGTTGTGTAAGGCACTGTGGGTGGCCCCGGAACCCATCCCCAGGAATGCCGAGGGGCAAGTGTCTGTTGTTGACCTGTTGCAACCACAGGTGGGAAGCGGAAGGCTTGTCAGCAGGTGAGGGTGTCCCTGGAAGTGGTTGCAGCAGCTGACCCCATGTTGGAGGGCTGCACTTATCTGTCAACCCCTGGTTACCACACCCAGGACAAGACGGCCACTTTGCAGGGGGCCATGATGGAAAAGGATTGGGGCAGCCAAACTTTGACATGCCTGGTATGCACGGGGAGGCGACAGGAGCCCAGCATGGGCAGGTGTAAGGAGGGAGGTGAGAACTTGGCCCCGTCCCACCCTGCACTGTACCTCAGCTCTGTTTTGATCTCTTCATAGTCCGACTGTGCCTGGAGCTTTTCTTCTAGCTTCTGGAAGTAAAACGAAGAGGGTGAGCCTGGCCGGTGCTCAGGAGCTGCCTTCTGCCTGGGCACCTGCCGGTCTCCCACCAAGACCTGCCTCTATGGCCTCGGACTTGGCTGTGAGCTGCTGCTCCAGGTCCGCGATCTGGTTGGCAGAGGCCTCCTCCAGCTCCTGCAGAGAGTTGCGGAGGTGCTGTGCGTCCTTCAGCAGCCGCAGGATCTCCCTGTCCTTGGAGGCCAGGGCAGCCTCCAGCCGAGGCCCTGAGCACAGGGCGAAGCTCACCTTCTCCTGGGGGAAAAGGGGGCGTTGAGGGCCAAAGGGTGTGGGACGGGGGGCCACAGGGCTGGCCTCCTGGCCCAGGAACCCCAACAGGATGGAACATTCCACTTGTCAGTCCAGGAGTGCTGTGGGGCATGTGAATCATGCTGTGTGTGTGCTATGCTCCCCTTAAAACAGTGATTAAAGAGGAGCAACCACAATAGGCAGCAGCTGTGCATTGGCCACTGGGTGCTGCGGCGGATCCGGCTTAGACAAAGGTTTGGGTTTCTGAACTCAGATTCTTCCCTAGAGCAATGATCTTGCCCCAGGTGACAAGGGACCTCAGGGTTAGACTAGAGACCTTGTAGCCACCTATGGGTGGCTCCTTCCTCCTAATTTGCTGATAGCCCAAGACCAGTGGCTTCTCTTGATTTTAGGAATTGGCCCCTTTGTCCCAGAGGAAGTTGGAGGGGTTGCTGTTTGAGGGACATGAAGTCAGGCTGGTCTCTGGCTCTGCGACAAAGACGTCTTAGAAGCATTTAAGGAAAAAGAAAAACCCACACACACACACACACACACACACAAATACACTGCTACCAACCCAGCTTTCTTCCATGGAGATAAATGCCAATTAAAACAGGAAGCGGATGCCATTAATACATTAAATTAATTAGCATCGAGCGCCACCGTTGTGCTCAGAAAAGCTCACCTCCCAAACCAGCCGAGCTCCCCGTGGCTGATTAGCACAGGCATTTGCTGGGTTCCACGGGGGCTAATTAAGAACCATTGGCAAATTCCTCTCTGAGGCATCCTTGTGAGCTCTCGCTCTTGATCCTTTCCTCACCTTCTTCCTCTCTCCCATGAACTCCCTGTGTGTTGTGAAGCCACCTGGGCACAGGGACACAGACATGGCTGACACCACACAGTCCCAGCACACAGACACATGTGCCTCCCTGAATTCTCACGCTGACACACACACTCACAAAAATACACAGGCAGCAAGGAGACAGAGACACTGGGACACAGCACCACGACACACAGAGACCCGTGTGTGCTCCAGGAGGCCACATGGTCTCATGAGCAAATGGACCAAAGACACACTGATCACAGTAATTAGAGCATTAAATATTCACTGAGCATATACTATGAGCCAAGCACCATTTGGAGGCAGTTCACAAACAATCTTTTCAACAACCCTATAAGGTAAATGTCACTTGTACAGTTAAAGAAACTGAGGTGCAGTCAGATTAAGGACATGGTCACTTTTCCAAAGGTCACAAGCATACATATAATATAGTAACACACGTTTGTGGAGATATATTCCAATTTTTTCTTTTTTAGGCAATGACTGCATCTTTTTTTCCCCCATTTATTTTATTTATTTATTTTTATTTGGTGCTGAGGATGGAGCGCAGTGCCTTGCACGTGCTAGGCAAACTCTCTACCGCTGAGCCACAACCCCAGCCCAACGTATTCTAATATTCAAACAGAAAGAGAGGCATGACGCTTGTGCCTGTGTATCAGGTGAAACGAAAACTACCCAGCAACCTCAGGTTCACGGGTCAAGGCTGCAATTCACCCTGGAGCAGACTGTATCCCGAATCCATAAGGAATATGAGTCTATCCCTTTGCTATGCGCTTGACATCAGGCACCCACGGCTTTCTGGGGAGCGGGAGGGATGGAGACTGCCAATAGGAAGGCAGAATGGGGTGACTCTGACGAAAATCCTTTGACAAGAAATGATTCCAGAACGCCAAAGGGCACTAACCAGTAGGAAAGAGAAAGATGAGTGGATCAGCCAGGCTCAACACAGGACGTCAGGTTGAAACTGGCCCTTCACACATGTGGTCGGGGTGGGAACCCCCACTGGAATCATCCTGCGCGAGCTGCTTTGGAAATAATGGCTGACAAGGAGCCCTGCGCCTCGGATCAGGCATGGCCTCTCTATAGTTCTGCTAGTGCCTGGAAGCCAGCCAGAGCATCCTAGTCTCCGTAACACCATGTGGTGCAAACCAAGCGTCCAACAGTGACACCTGGTGGCAGCCACCAAAGCTGCACTGCTGCGCTTTGCTCAAACTCACCCCTTTGGCAGTTGGCCATGGGAATGACCTTCTGTGGCCTGAGAAAGCTCCTGGCATTCTTGGACAAGTGGGGGTGAAGGAGGCTGCCAAAGGAAGGTACTAGACTTCCTGTTAAACAAAGGCATGTGGAGGCTCGAGCTTGAAAGGTCACAAGAACTGTGGCTACATTAACACCCTCAGCTGGTGAAGGGGTTGTGGTAATTACGTTCAACTATGCACTGACCTTGGCAATTAGGACACGGTGCCCGCTGTACACAGAGACCCACATACATCCCTGCTCACGATTTCACAACGAAGCACATGCCCACAATGTGTCACCTACCTAGTATTTCCACTCTTTCCCTCGGCTTCCCCCCACACTTCCCAGACTCCATCCTTACCCCACTGGGTCCCTGCGGGGAGCAGCAGGCCAGGCGGATAGAGCTGTTGACAGAGGCCAGCTGTTCCCGGAGACTCTCCACTTCCCGCTGGGCGGCTTCAGCGCGCTGGGGAGGGGGAGGGACACAGGTGGTCAGGAGGTGAGCAGGTGCGTCAGACCCTACTCTGCCCCTCTGACACCCCCCTACCACATCCCAGGTGGCAGTTGCCTGCTTTCTTGGTCCTGGACCCAGTCCTGGAGCTGGAAGGCCTGTCGCAGGGCTCAGGGCTGGGAACAAAGAAAGCAGCCCCATGTTTTTTCTAGAGTTGGAGGACAGGATCTGTGTGGCTCCCTTGAGGAGGCTCAGTCTGTGCTGGGGTGCATGGGACCCCAAGAGAACATTCCCCTCCACGAGGGCAGGAGGGAGGGGTTGGTGAGGGCACTAGAAAGCCCCCATTTCTAGTCACTCTGTTTGCTTCGCGAAGCTTCTGGCCCGGCTGTGTGGAAGGCAAGCCTTCCCTGCTCTCACAGCACCTGATGTGGGACAAGTCCCAGAGGTGGGTCCCCAGATCACAAGCCACTGCAGGCCCCTGGACAAGTCACTATCCCTTCCTAGGACTCAGTCCCCTTTTTATGAAATGGGGAAAACATCAGAAGGGGTCTGAGCAATTACAGTCAGAACCCAGCGGTTAGCTAAACTGGCCTAGGGTAGAGCCAACTCTTCAAAAGTTTCTGAGTCTGGAAGGAAGCATCTAAATGTTAGCAATACGGTCTTGCAGTCTTGGAGAGAAATCTGAGCTCAGCTTCTCACTTTAGGACTTTGTGATTGTGTGACCTTGGGCAAGAGGCTTCCTCTTCCCAGCGTGGTCACTCTATCTGTAAGATGGCGATTGTAAAGGCAGCTATTTCATAGGGTTGCTTCACAAATTAAGTGATTTTGGTAAAATGCACTCATCATTAGGCATCTTAGCTTGGTGCCGTGCAGGTGTATCCATGATTGGTTCATTTCACTGGCATTCATCAGGGTGTATTACTTGAGCCATCACTTGAAAGTTAAAAGAGCTATTGTTTTCTTATTTTTATTTTGTGGTGCTAAAGCTGGAGTCCAGGTCTCATGCATGCCAGGCGAGCGCTCTACTACTGAGCCACACCGCAGCCCTATGGTTACATTTATAACTTCAGCTGGTGTAGCAGGTCATAGTGATTATGTTTAACTTCGGTTGACCTTGACAGTTAGAATGCTGTGCCCACTTTATGCACACAGAGACCCATGTATAGCATATTCACAGTTTAATTTATTTGTAATTTATTTATTGGCACCCTGTCTTGTGGCAGAAAGGATTCAAGCTAGTTCTGTTTGGGGGAAGAAGTTCTGGGTACATGGGGCAGTAGCGAAAGTGTGTTTACGTTTCTGCACAGTCGGGGTGTTCTGAGAAGATGTGAATGAACTCAGGATCCGGGCTACAAGGCGAACCCTGGGCTGCGGGTGGCGCTTCGTGGTACAGTTCGTGCCTGGCATGCTCCAGGCTCTGGGTTTGTTCCCTAGCACTGCAAAAGAAAGAAAAGAGCCTGGGAACAAACTGTGGGCTGGTTAGCTAGCAGGACCTGAGGGAAGTTTTCCTCCCTGGAGGACTGTGCTTGCGTTTCAAGTGGGGAGACTGAGGTGGCCTCTGGAGAGATGTGCGCACACTCCAAGGGCCTCGCCCTGTATCCATGGCACTTGGGAGATAGATGGATTCTTCTTCTCCCACTGGAAGAAGGTCCCTCTCCTACATAACCTTGCAGATTGGCAGTTAGGAGGTCCTCGCCTATGGTAGAGACTCTGGTACACAAAGGACGACATCTGCTTCTGGTTTGGTCTCTGCAGGGTTCACTGGCTTGGCTGTTATTTAGTGAATGACACTAGGTACCTGCTGTTTTCAAAATCCCTGCAGCCATGCTCAGGATGATATTAAAGATAGATATTAAAACTTAATATGGTGATGTTTATTTTTCTTCTCCGTATTTTTCTATAATGAGCAGATTTTAGTTAAATACTCAGGGAAAAAAAAAGGAGACATTATTAAACTGTTTCCTATTCAAACTACTGTTAAGAGCTCTTTTAAAAAACCTATCTGGCTTGGCCTGTGGTGCCCATTTGGAATCCCAGCTCCTTGGGAGGTAGGATCAGAGTTAGGGCCAGCCTGGGCAACTGAGTGAGACACTGTCTCAAAAAAAAAAAAAAAAGGCTGGGGATATAGCCAGTGGTAGAGCACTTGCCTAACATGGACCCTGGGGTCCATCCCAATACCACAAAATAAATAAAATAAAATAAAATAAAAAACTGATTGGCAAAGATGCAAAAGTTTGAGGACACGCAGTGCTGGTGAGGTTCTCAGGAAGCAGGCATCCTTGTACACTGGTGGAGGGAGCAGCAGTTTAGCTACATCTGCAATCACAGATGCACACACCCTTTGCCCAGCAAATCCACTTGGAAAACTCCACCCTACATATTGGGTTGTGCGTCTGTACACTTCTGTACAAGCTCATTCACTACAGTATCGATTGTGAGGGAAAAGACTGGAAATACCATAAATGCTTATCAGTAGGGGCCTGGTTAGGCCGGGGTCAGCCGAGCAGAGCCTGCTGCCTGGGCTTATTAATAAAGTTTTATTGGAACGCAGCCATGCTCCTCCACAGGTAAATCATCTGTGCTTTCAGGCTGCAACAGCAAAGCTGACTACCTGTGATGGAGACCGCGTGAATTGCAAAGCTGAAAATGTGAGCCCTCTGTCCCTAGGTTGGTGACGGTGCGTCCACTCAATGTGAACTGGGTACGGAGGTGTCAACCAGAGGAGGGACTAAGTTAGACGTGGAAGGATCCCAGACAGACCACAGGGAAAGTAAGGTGGATATAGGGTTTCGCTTTTGCTTTAAAAAGAAGTCAAAAATGGATACATTCACGGGTGTGTGCATGGACTGGGCATCGCTGGAAGAAGACCCTGGAAACTGGCAGAGCTGCTGCAGGGGAGGGCAACTAGAATTTCCTGATAGCCCCTTGTGTAACTTCACTGGGGAATTACACATTCAAAAAATCAAACTAAATATGTATGTGGGCGGGGATGGGGCTGGGGCTCCGCGGTAGTGTACTTGCCTAGCATGTATGAGGCCCTGAGTTCAAGTCTCAGCACCACGTATAAATAAATAAATAAAAAATAAAGGTCCATCAACAACTTAAAAAAATAAAAAAAAAGCTGAATATGTATGTGGGCTATAAAAATACGGCTCATTTAATGGTCATTTCAGGGAAGCCACTGTGGTCACCACCACCATTGTCACCTGGCACTGTCTTTGGGCTTCCTGCCCCTCCTAGGGAATACTGCCCCTGTCAGGGCCAGACGGTAGGGATTCATGGAGTCTCAGCACCACGAGGGGCCCAGTTGGAAATCATGTCCTTGGGAACAGGGAGGGTGGGCCAGGTCGGGCCTGCATATTTTGTTAGTTTCCTGTAGGGACAGGGACTTGGGATCAACCTTCCTATCGAGTGTCCTCCACAGGAGGGAGCACCCCTGCCCTATGCCTGAAGAGCCACAGCTCTGGGCCTTTGCTCTGCCCTCTGCCTGATGTCTCTCCTCAAGGAGACAGCACATGGACTCAAAGCCCAGCTCCAGTGTCCCCCACCAAGACGCCCCCCTCAATCACCTCAGGAAATGGTGGCTTGCCTGTGGCAGTGCTGCCCTGAAAACCTCGGGCTGAGCGGGCATCTTCACACCTGCACTGGCCCTAGTCCTCAGAGGCATGTGACCCCCAGTTCCCCACTCCCTGCCAGGCCTGGCGCCCCCACCACAGCAGCAGCCGCCAGCACCCCTCACCTGGTTAGCTTTCTCCAGGTTCGTCATGATCAGGCCGACCTCATCTGCCCTGAGACACAAAGGTGAGGCCCTGAGGGGGGGTTCTGGCAGCTGTCAAGCCCCCCATCCTGACAGCCCAGCCTCTGCTTGAACCCGAGTCTTGCAATGGGGGCTGAGAAGGCCACCTTCCCCACAGAGCTCAGGCTGGGAAGAAAAGAACCCAGGCTGCGGGGAAGTGGAATAGGGCCTGAGCACCACACCCTCCCAGCCTCCCCAGGGCTCCACTCTCTGGAGAGACCCTGCCAGGCCTTGAGCCTGTGTCTCTCTAGAGCTCCCAAGTGTGGGGGAGGCCTCCTCCACTGCCTCAGGGCATCCTTCAGTGGTGGACTAGGGGGTAGCCTAGCATGGGTGTAGGTGACCCAGGGAGCTGGGGAGCATCTGGTGACTTATAAGGCCACACGGGCCACACGGGCCTGAGGACCTGCCCAGCATAAGCTGTTCCCACTGACTGGAGCACCTTCCCGGGGCTCTTCGAGGGCAGCTCCTCACCCTGAAGGCCTCCTCCCCAGCGAGCCCTCCCTGAGCCCTCTCCATACCCTCTCTGCCCATGGCCAGTACTTTCCTTCATAGCATTTACCACGTGCTAATAATGACGCTGGGCATACAGTAAGTGCTCAATAGTGTCTGGGAGCAAATACGGTCATCACTGTTTCAGTTGCTGTCTGCCTCCTTTCTGACTGAGGGGAGGGGCACGTTGTCCAATGTGTCCCCAAGACCCTCTAGGTGAGCAGCAGCAACTCAGTAAGTGTTTATGGAATGAGTGACTAAAAACGTTCCAGCCCAGAGCAGGTTAGATGATGTCACCTGGACTGTAGGGCTGGAGAGTGGGGACGGGGTGAAGGGGAGACCCCTGCTCGGCAGCCCCACAGGTCAGGCACGGGATGTCATTCATGGTGAGTGGCACGCAGATAGCACCCGGATGGCAGGAGCAGCGGTATGAGATGGAAAGGGGCCCCGGGCAGAGGATCAAAGAGGAGGGTCAGACGAGGGAGCACATCAGGGATGTTCAGAGGGAGCCGGTGCGTCTGGAGGGCCAGGGAGGAGGGACGTCTCCAGCGACAGAGGAGGCGTGTTGCGGGCGACAGGGGGTACCGTCAGGGGGGACGGAGAGGAGGTCTGTCTGGAGGGTCAGGGGAGGAGGCACATCTCGGGGAAGAGAGGGAGGAGCTACATCTCAGGGGGTGGGGGCAGAGGCCTGTGTGGAGGGACGGGGGAGGCCTGACCCAGCTGGCCGCTCACTTACTTGGACGCGGCCTCCTCGTCGTACTTGCGACGCAGCTCTAGCAGCTCCGTCTGCGTGGCCTTTAACGCTGGGAGAAGTAAAAGGGCAACTGAGGCCTGACCCCAGAGCAGGATGGGGCAGCCCTCCCAGGAGGGGGACCCACCCTGGGTGTAGGAAGGCAGAGTGAGGCAGTGACGGGGACCTTTCTCTTGGTTAGAACTGGCACCAGGTAGTGTGTGCCCTGTCCCCAGAGGGGCTCTGGACTGGGGCGAGGGGTGTGGGGCTGGGCAGGGCGGGGCAGGTGGGAGGCCTTGGGTGGAAGCTCAGGGACCCTGGTGGGAGTGGGGGCAGTGGTGCCATCTGCCCCGGAGGCTGGGGTACAAGCCCCTAGCCCCCTCCAGGCCCACCCTGAGGCTCTGACTGGTATGCAGGGGACAGGGAGGCACAATGAAGCTGAAGGGTTCTGGATATTGCAGGGTTGGTCCCTGTGGATTCTGATTTCTGACTGTGGTAGGAAAACTGAAGGCCGGGCCACAGGGGTGGGGGGCGGCGGGTGGCCATGCCTGGCAGGTGTGGCCCGTGTGGCCATGTGGTTGCCTCTTCGGACAAGGCTTGGCTTCGCCAGTGCCCAGACCTCAGCCCTCCCCACTGCTGTCCCCTGGCCCCTGCAGGCACTGTCAGCCCCCCACCTGACTCTGCCTCAGATTCTCCTTCCTCAGCAACACGGGGCGGGCAGGAGGGGAGACCCCTTGGGGAGCAGCGCGAGCCTTGCCTCGCTCTGCCTCCGCCCCCACCCCGGGAGCCTGGAGTGAGGGTGGCACGGGGCACGTACCTGAATGTAGGACCTTGATCTTCTCCTCTGCCTCCCCCAGTCTGGCTGCCAGCGTGACCTGCACTTCTTGAAGGCCCCTGTGGGGAGACGGGCTGCTCACGCTGGCCCCGTGCTGGGCTCACCCTGGCTCCCTGTCTGTCACCTGCCCCCTGTAACCTGCGCCTCTGTCTTCAGGGAGTGCAGAGACGTGGCACTCAGGGTTTGCTGTCCTGCTGTCTTGCTGGTGGGGTGGCCCCCATCATGGCTGGCTCTGCTAAGTCCCTGTCAGCATTTCAGGGGGCCAACCTGTACAGCACCAAGTGGCCTGGTCTGTGAGGCGGGGTTTCTGGCAGGGCCAGCCTAGTAGGGGGCCTTCCTAGTGTGTGTGCCCTCCATGTCACTGTCCAGGGCAGGCACGGGCCCTGGTATGGCAGGAGTATGGGTGTTCAGTGAGTCTAGTTCAGGAGTGTCCAAGCCTCTCCTAGGAGGACTGGAAGGTTATACAGAGCTGGGGCCTGAGGCTGCCTGCCTCAGTGACTACAGGAAGGAGTCCTCAGTCTACCCATATCTCCCTTGGCCACTCTCCTCCAGTCTCACATATCTCGCTGCTCAGTCATGGCCAGCGGCCTCCTACCTCAGGGCCTTTGCACTGGCTGTTTCCACTGTAACGTCCTCCCCTCATATCTGCAGGACTTGCTTACCTAGGGCTTTGCTCACCTGCTCGGTGAGGCTCTCCCGTTTAAAATCCCAGTGCCACCTCAGCTCCCTCCCTGGCTTAGTTTTTCTTCCTAACTTATTGTTATTGAACCCACCATTGATCTGTCGCCTCACTCAATGAAAGCGCACTCCAGGAGGGCAGGGGGCTTGGTCTGATTTGTCCCTTAGTGTCCCCAGGGTGGGTCCATAAACATGGGTGATCAATGATAAGGGAGGAAAAAGTGAATGAACGCAGGGATGAATACAGTGACTGCCACAAAACATCCAAGAAGGGCCACTGGCCTGGGTAATGCCCAGGGCACCAACTGCAGGTAGCTGTCTATGCTGTGCACCGTGCCTGGGCCCCGCACCTATGGACACATCTAATTTCATTCCCATAGCCAACCAGGAGCAAATGCCACTGGCTAGGGCACTGTCCCCAGGTGTCTGCCAACTGCACACTAACTCAGGTCTCTCGGTGCAGACACTCAGTAGACTGAGGTCTACGATGAGCTGAATTACGAAAAGGAGAATGACCTTCACACAGTAGGTGAGCCTCATCTAATCAGTTGAAGGTGTTTTTTTTTTTCCCCCCATTGTTTGTTTGTTGTTTTTTGTAGACAGGGTCTTGCTCCGTTGCCCAGGCTGGTCTCACAGTCTTGGGCTCAGGAGATCCCCCTGAATAGCTGGGCTGAGAGTCTTGCTCCACCAAGTCTGGCTCTATTGAACCTTAAGAGAGAACTGAGGAAGAAAGGGTTCTGCCTCAAGATGGCAGTACCTCTGTGGCTGGGGTCCCGCCGGCCACCTGCTCTGCTCATCTCAGACTTGCCAGCCCCGCAACTGCAGGAGCTGAGTCCTCAAAACACACTCCATTAAAGAAAAATCCGGCTATTTCTGTTTCTCTGGAGACGCTAATGCACCACTTTTCAGATGGGAAAACCGAGGCTCTGGCGAGTGCTGTAAACTCCCAGGGCTGCCACCGAGCCCCTGTGGCGAGGCTCAGATCAGACCCAGGCCTCCTGGGGTCCGAGCCCCCTCCCTGTCACCTGCACTCCCTGCGGTGGGCACCTCCCTGCTCCCTGCCAGCCCAGGGAGCCCAGCTGTCCCTCGGCCCTCACTTCTGTTTCTCGGCCTCATTTCTCTGCAGCAAGGCTTCTGTCAGGAGGGCTTTCCCAGCGATGCCGGGCAGGCGGCTCCCCTCGGTCAGCGTGGGCACGGCTGGGGACGTCCCCTCTTTCTGCTCTGCAGGGAGAAAGGGAGACACAGCCGTTGCCAAGAAAGCAGCATGAGGCAGGGGTTCCCACAGCCTGGACCCACCGACCACAGCGTGTGTGCCCGGCTCCCAAACCTGGGCTCTGGGGAGGCTCTGCCCATGCCTGCCGCGCATCTGGTGGGCCGTGTCTTGGATGGCACCCAGGCTCGCCCTCGCCTGCTCACACCTCCTCCTCCTCATTAGTTTTTTTCAATTGTAGTAAACACACAACGGGAGCTTTAGTACATCCACAGTATCACACACCCTCAACCCAGGGAGGCCTGGTCAGCTAAACGGCCCTCCATCCTGCCGCCAGCTCCTGGCTCCACCCTGCCACACTGGCTGTGGAGACACGCCTTCTGGACATTTCCCATCATGGAAACACACACCAGCTGACCTTCTGCATTTGGTTTCTTAGACGCAGAGTTCACCCAGCACTTCACTCCTGCTATGGTGTGAAGTGACCCCCAAGGGCTCAGGTATGATGTATTAAGAGGGTGATGAGGATTAGACAGGGTTACAGAGTGCAGCCCCTATGACTGAACACTGTGGCTTCATGGGAAAAGGGAAAGAGCACATGTGTGTGCTCCCTGTCTCTGCCACATGATGCTTGGCACCGCCTTGGGCCTACCACCAAGAAGGCCATCACCAGATGTAGCTCCTTGACTTTGATTCAGAATCATGAGCCAAAATAAACCTCTTTTCTTTATAAAGTTCCCAGCCTCAGGTATTTCATTAGAGTAACATAAGACACACTGATACAGTTCCTTTCAGTGTGACTGCCACAAAACCGTCCAAGAAGGGCCATTTCTACAGAAGGCATTCCACTCTGTGACTATGCCAGTTTATCCATCTGTGTGTTGGTCCCACTTCTGGCTTCTATGTTGCTATGTATATGTGTGTCCTCATTTTTGCCAGAGCACCTCTTTTTGATTTTTTTAGCGTACATCCCTTGGAGTAGAACTGCAGGGTCATGTGGTGAGTCTATTTAACTCATGTCCTCGCTTTCAACAACTCTACTGCGGTGTGTGCACCTAGAGGCTCTACTGTCAGCCCTGCCACAGTCTTGGCTTTTACAAGAAAGGCATCAAGGTGCTCCTGCAGCCCTGAAGGCCCATCAGTGCTGCCCAGCATCCTGCCGTGTGGCTGGTCTCTGGCTACCAGACACTTGCCCCACTCTGATTTTGCACCATTACAAAGCCTGTGGCCAGTATCCCTCCTGAGTGCGTCCCTTGGGCACAGAGTGGTCTCTCCAAGGAAACACCACATGGAGTAAATATATGGGGTCGCGTAGCGTGGCCCAGCCTGAAGTGAAGCGCAGCTGTCCCAATCCACACTAGGAGCAGCTGCTCAGGGTCCGCTGCCCTGTGACCTTGAGGAGCTGGCCTGGCCAACATGAGGTCCTCCGCTCCCCTTGCTTCCTCCTTGGTGAACACCTGCTCACGCCTTCAGGTGCTTTGTGCTGGAGGCCAGGGCTCCTGATGGTGGGTCAGGGACAGTGGTGTGCCCGGCTCAGCCTTGAGGCTATTTCCTTCCCAGCAACCTGCGCCTGCACACTGGAGGCCAGCACCCCTCTGCCTTTCTGAGGGAGGAGCGAGTCCCACTCCCAGCCTCTGCTCTGACCCTCATGGTCCAAGGTGGCTTCCAGTCTCGCTCTGACCCCCACGGCTGGCTCCCTCGTTCTTAACAAGCCCCGAGCCTCCAGGGTCAAGGCACCATGCACTCCCTGCTCAGGCAGTAGAGGCCAGCCTGGAAGTGCTGTGGGCAGAAGCTCTGGGCTGGGGGCTCAGAGGCAGAAAGGAAAATAGGATGCTGCCCAGAACCTGTGGAGGACTCAGGAAGTTTTTGGTTTTGTTCTTGGTACTGGAGTACCAGGACCAGAACTAGGGCTGCTCGGCCCCTGAGCTGCACCCCAGCCCTTTGCATTGTTCGTTTTGAGGCAGGGTCTTGTGCTCCTCCTGCCTCAGCCTCCTGAGGTGCGTGGGCCCCTTGCTGCTCAGGAAGAATTAAGGCTGCGGCTCATCCAGGCGCAGTGTCCTCCACACCTGCCCCCGGATTCCTGGACACACAGCCCGACTACACTTCCCAGCCTCCTCTGCAGCTGGGTGTGACCACAGAGGTTCTGGCCAATGGGAGGGTGGAAGGGGGGCCTGCTGTCCAGAGTCACACCCTGACACCTGTGTGACCTCCACATTCTTCCCCTGCCTGTTGGCAGGTGGTCAACATCACCAACAGGACATCCCATGTGTAAGGTGGCGGGATCTCTGTCATCTGGATCCCTGAGGGGCAGCGTGGCACAAGCCCGCAACCTTCAGTAGACTGAGGCCCAAGACCCGGGTCCGTCTGCTTCAGCAGAAGTGCCATCTCCACCCACCTGCTGTCCACACAATGAAGCCCAGTCCCAAGCCCACCAGCCCCTGCTGCAGCCCATGGTGTTACAGGACCCAGGAAGGCCTTAGCAGTACCTTTGTGGCCAAGGAGCTCGGGGTGCCTCTTCCAAGAAGCGTGGAGGTCCCGCCGGGGCTGCCTGCTGGGGTCCAAACTGGGGGGCTGCAGTCTGTCGTCCAGGCTACGCGCCACCTCCAATGTAGGCACAGGGTCTGCAGAGACAGGGAAGAGGTCGAGGTGGGATGCCTAGGCTGAGGCTGTGGGGCCTGGGAGGGCCTCCTACAGGGAGCTGGGTGGGGATCATCCACAGGAGCCACCGGAGTCACACTCTGGGTGGCCAGGGAGAGCCAAGTGAACGCTCTTTACATGACAGACTTCTCCAGGCCCCTGGCAGGTGTGCCTGCCCACTCCCCGGTGAGCATGTCCTGCCAGCTGGGAACAACAGCAGTCATACTGTCACTGCATTGTCTTGACTCAGTGATGCCACTGTGTCACTGTGTATGGCCCTGGGGAGGTTGAGAGTGTGTCCAGCCGGCCTCTCCACCTCTCTGTCCCCTGGGGTGGAACCTGCCACATGGCCTGAGGCCCTCCAGCTTCTCCTGGCTCTACCCTCCCGGAGACATTCTTGCGGCCCGGTGGCTGTGGCTCCTCAGTGGACTTGGCCATGTGCACTGGGGATGCACTAGCGGCCATCCCGGGAACAGCACGCACACCTGGATGAGAGTCTCCCAGCTTCCCGACGGCTCCCAGCTGAGGAGGCTGCGGGCCTCTGCCTGGCTAGCTTCCCTCCACCTCCCCTTCACCTGTGGAGAGTTTCCTTTTCCTTTCATTCTAGAGCCCAGCGCATGTCCTCTAGGACATTCCCAACCGCGCCCCCAGGGCAGGTACCAGTGGCCGTAGAATGACTCCTGAGGTTGGTGGGCTATGCAGGTTACATAGCCCAGCCGCAGGCAGGGGGCCGTGGTCCCCAGAGCAACCCCTGGAGGCCGGCTTGGAGTCAACCCGTCTTCACAGAGGAGGGAACTGAGGCCCAGAGAAGCCAGGGTGCTCGCTAAAGGGTGGAGGTGACGCTGGACTGTCTCTTGCTGAGGCCACGGAGACTTTCTGTCCTGGGGTGGGCACAAAATGTCCCCAACAGTAGGCACACAGGGTGTTCATGGGGCCCAGGACAGCCAGGGCCTCCAAGCCCAGGTCCTGGGGCCCAGGATCTAGGCCAGTTCTGGAGCCCTCTCTTCTTGGTTCCTCTCCCAGCACCCCCTGCCAGCCTCTGCTCGGCCGATGTTCTCTGGTGAGAGGACAGACTTTGGAGCCAGATGTGCCTGGACCCGGTCTAATCCATACTTGCTTCTTGGGATGGTGTGTGATCTTGGCAAGCAACTCTATCTCTCTGTGCTTCACCCTAAAAGTGGCAACCTCCTGGGGTTGTCATGAGGATCAGGCAAAATGATCAACATGGTGCCAGACACCCTGTCAGCTCAGACAACCTCATGCTTACCCTCAGCCTTGGGGTTATTTCCTTCCCAGCAACCCGCTTACAACATTTCACCCCTGAAGATATATTACGACTCAAATGTCACCTCTTCCAGGGAGCCCTCCTGGACCAGTCAGTCTTCCCACATGTGCTCCCCAGCTGCCTGCAGCTCTCCATGGTAGAGCCCAGTGCTGTCCCAGTATATCTGCAAGTCCACCCAATTAACACGCACTGGGCTGCAAACTTCACAGGGGAGGCGAGGGCTACACTGGTCCTTGCTCTACCTCCCACTGGTCCATAGTACCTAGGATGCAACCTGACGCACAGTCCTACCCAATACATTTTTACAGGAGACGACAGGAGGCCATGCCTGCTAGGAGGCCTTCAGGTCTGGCTGGAACAAGGTAGCCTCTCATTTTCTCCTACTGCCTGTTTGTTTAGGTGGAGGGAGGCTGGACAATGGGCGTTTGTGCCGTGGTGAGCAGGTGCAAGGGCGCACCACGTTGGCTTTCCTCTGTCAGCAGCCCCCACGCCCTGTCATTAGGCAGCGCCCGCTCAGCAGGGTATGCCATTATGTCTCCCAGGGCTGATGTAATTATACATTGACATAATTAACCCAGCAAGCGCATTAGGCAGGCCAGCTAAAAATTCATCTATAATTATTTGTTGTGTGCATGCTAATGAGTCCATCTGCACCGCCTTTGTACAACACGAACAAATTAATTTACAAGTCTGGATTTTTTAATAAGTTCAAGGAATCGCTTCCTATTGTGTCCTGGATTTTGAGAAAGGAAGAAAAAGGCGACAGCACTCGCCGGGGTCAGGGAAGTTAGGTAAACACGGAGGGAGCAGATCCGGCGGCCTCTGCAGACTGGCTCTGGGCCCAAGGACGGGGGAAGTTCTCCAGCGGCCAGGCCAGACGATTCCTCTGGGAGTGGGGACACTTGCCGCCACCTCCTCTCCAGGGTTAGACCCAGGTTCTGTTCCACCCTGAGGACGTGGGCCCTGCGAACTGGTGGCTGGCTTCGGTGGCCCCCAGAGGCTAGCAGAAGGGGCCAGGCCTCCACACGGGCTCAGGGGGCTTCGGGGCTCTGCCCTCCTGCCTTCGCTTGCTGGGGCAGCGGTGAACGTGCTGCTTAAGCTCCAGGATCTGAAGTTCAGCTCTGGGTCGAGTCCCATGAGGACCTGAGCCCATTTCTCCACCTGTGGGGGACACTGTGCAGCGTCTGTTTGCCTGGAGGTACCCCTGGGCAGATCCAGACACACTGAGGAGAGAGTGAGACCCGAGGGAGGGTGTCACCGGAGGGTGGGTGTCAGTGCCGGCTCCAGCTGGCCGTGTCTCTCTAGGTGGCCAGGGACTCTCCGAGCCTCTCTTTCCTCGAGGAGGCTGCCCCCCGAGGGCTGTTACGGAGAGGAGCTGGCTGACCACTGCTGGCCCGCGGGCTCAGGGCGGGCTGGGAGCCAGCCGTTCTCTGTGGAGAGCGGGCACCAGGCACGGCCTCAGTGTTGGCACAAGAAATGTGCCCAGGAAACCCAGAATTCAATTATCTTGATTTGAACTCATTCCACTCTGGACCCAAAGATTTCAGCTTAGAAAACCAACCCAGGGAGGGAGCAGTCAGCTCAATCCGTCCACTGTCTCCTGCACCCCAGGACGCAGCTGGGAATGGGGGTGGTGCAGGGAGAGGTGAGCCTCTGGCCTCTTCCTCTACTCCTGGCTCCCTGTGGCCGGGTGGGTGGTACTGAGATGCTGTGGCCAAAGTCCAGCTTCGAATGAATCCTAATGACCACAGCCCTGTACACTCCATCATCACTATGGCAGTATGAGGATGTCGCAGTCCCCTTTTACAGATGGAGAAACTGAGGCACGGGGTCAAGGCTGGGACCCATGCTGGCTAGCCCCCAGCAGGACTCATCAGAGCCCCCAGGGAACCCGTGAAGCATTCTGGGCCTCAGTGGAGTCTCAGGGTTGGTCTGTGTCACTCCAGTCCTCCGGGGGCAGGCCGGGATCCTTGGGGTTTGCCTGTTGGGCCTTCTGATCTCTCCCTGGTGGGCTGGTGTGCCTGTGACGTGCTCTCAGCTTCCAGTGGGGCTGTCAATCAAGACGCTCCACCTTCCCCCAAGGAGGGTCACCTGCTTCAGGCTGCCAATTGAACACTGCCCTGGGAATCTGGACCCCTTTACCCGGTTACTCGCTGCTCTGGCCCTGTGTGAGCCGGGGGCCCCACCTAACGAGTCCCTTTCCTGTGCACTAGAGTTTCCAGAGCTGGCTTCTCCACACCACATGAGGAACCCTGAGCGACATAGGAGCTGGTGATTTGACAAGGGTATCTGAGAACTGGGTAAAGGGAAGGAGGAACGAATGCTCACAACATTTCACCCCTGAAGACTCAGTTTTCCTGTCTGTAAAATGGAGCCCCAAGCAGCATCCACCAAGGCCACTGTGGGCATTCAGTGGTCAGAGTCCTGCACAGTGGTCATCCCAGCCCTTGCTCTCATCAGCGTTCAGCAAAGGGCAGAGGGATCCTTCTCAGTGAGGCCCAGGGGGCTCGCTCACCTGCTGGGCACCGCCTGGCTTTGTATATTGGCTCCTGCTAACAACAGATTTGCAGAACAGAATTAGAAGCTGCTGGATATTTTGGAGAGACAGAGCATAGGACAGCAGCCTCGGGAGGAGGGGGCTGACCAGATCTCAGCAACAGGGCCTTGGGAGACCCCTGGAAGCTGCCAGAGGGTCCTCAGAGGCCCAAAGAATAAGGCAAAGACACCAGGCCCTGGGTTTCATCTGTGTCTATGCCAGTTGGAGCGACTTTCAGCAGGAAGGGGAGGCTGGGAAGGACTTCACTGTGGGTCTCCACAGGTTAGACTCTAAGCAGGAAGGAATCGAGGATGTCCTGGTGGAAGGCACAGCCTCAGCAAAGGCAGGAAGTCATGGCAATGTTAACAGCCTAACCCTCAGGGTAGGCTGCATACAGTCGGGCAGGCTGTGCACAGCACAAGGATATACAAGGGAGTGGCAATCGAATCGCACATTTACATATTTGGTACAAAACTCTTTGGGGAGATAGTAATGACCTGCTCTGAGGCAGGGGTACTATGCTGTGTCACCAGGTAGCATGTGGCAAAGGGACTTGGAACAGCTCCTCCTGTACTATAACCGTGGCTATTCCAGGCTCTGTGCCAGGGCTCACCTGCACTTTCTCCTTCACCCCAAATAGCACAGTAAAGTACGTGCCACTATTGTCCCTGTTTCCCAGACAAGGAAATAAAGGCTCAGAAAAGAGGTATCAGGTGCCCAAAGTCACCCAGCTTAGGCAGAGGTGGGGTTTGAACCCAGGGCTGTGGACTCTTCGCCGGAGGTCAGGTGGCCTCTGGGCAGGGCAGGCAGGGCCCTGACTTCTTCCTGTAGACCCGAGTGTGGGGCCAAGGGTTGTCCTTGGCCCTGCTACTGGCTTGTTACGTGGCCTTGGACAATGTGCTGACCTCACTGGGCTCCCCCATCCGAATTCCTATGCAAGTATGTCCGAGGCTCGCACTCAGCACTGGGCCACTGGACAGTGGCTCGCCCTGCGGGCAAGCACCTGTGCACTGGCCAATCCTGTTCAGCGGGGTGATGGTTAAACAACTTCGCGGCCAGGCTCGGCCCAAGAGGTGTGAACACCACGAACACGGTGAACCCTCAGGTGGCCAAAGCAACCCTGGGAAATAAGGGGAGGGGTGGGGGGGCGAAGGTCGAGTTCT